TAAATACTTTGGCCACCTAATGAGAAGGAAGGACTCCCTGGAGAAGAGCCTAATGCTGGGAACAATAGATGGCAAAAGAAGAAGGGGACGGCAGAGGATGAGGTGGCTAGATGGAGTCACTGAAGCAGTCGGCGTGAGCTTAAGGGGACTCCGGGAGATGGTGGAGGACAGGAAGGCTGGAGGAATGTTGTCCATGGAGCCGTGATGGGTCAGACACAACTTTGTGACTAAATACTTACTCTCAGATGCATGATCTTTGTGGCTGGTGGGGATGGGGGTTGTGCAAATGCATTTCAACAAACCTGGAAATATGCAGTTATCTGTTCACCAACTTTTGTTGGTTCCAGGAAGTATGGATGGAGCATTTGCTCAATGGAGCAAATTTCTCACCATTTATAGTTGGCAGGATAAGCCTACTTCGACTTCCCTGGCTTCCCTGATTTCCCTGGCTTTGGGAAGACATAATAAACATCTTGAAAATACAAAATAATAAGCTATAAAAGGCGCAACCCTCTGAATTTTGCCCTCAATGATGCTAAGTGGGTTACAAGAGTGGAAGGAGTGGTAGACGTGTTCTCCACCTCTTCATTCCTGCTGCTGTTAATTTCTGCTAGATGGCCATTCCTGACCATCTAGCTGGCTGCCTCAGACCAGGTGGAATGGAGACTGAAGAGGACACAGAATATGCCATGGCCTTCTCTGCCCTCATAACATGCCCCCCTTTCCCCCTTTTTGACATGCAATTCCCAACCCAGAGAAGGAGCCATTATGGTTCTTTCAGTTTGGGCTTCAAGGGGCAGAGGGGATTGGGACATGGATTTCCAACACAGAGGTTGGAGCTGTGTCTCCAACCTTGGAACTGGGAACCTGAAGTGCCCTATGGATCCCCACATGATGTCTAGGGGCCATAGGATATAATACGCTCTGTTGACATGGATCAGTTCCTCACTGTAATTTGAAGACCATGGCATTATTTCGCAGCATTTGCTGCTGTCACTGAGTGCGCAGATCTGTGCTGGAGACTCGTTCTAGACTTACAGTTCTTTAGTTTGTCTGTGTCAAATTCCATGAGGTTAGATGTGAAGATGAATTTGTTGTTTAAGTTCCTTCCTCTGGCGGGCAAGAAACTGAATCATTTTATTTCAACTGACCTTGTCTTGTAGAGAGATGAATCAATGAATCAAGTTATGAATGGTATATCATGAAAAAGTGATTTATGCTGGGCGATTTCCAATATGATGTATTTCTTAGGGATCTTCTCACTAAAGAAGCTTAGAGATTTGCCCAAAAGACAGTGAGTAAAGACTGGCTGAAAGAAAGTATTTCTTGCCTTTTTGAAGAGTATAATGATCAGGACGCATATGGCATCATGAATCAACAGCAGAATATTTCTGCCTAAACTCTTCCCTCCATAGAGTCTTGTCAATATTGGAAAATACTTTCTGATGTAATTCCATTTACTAGTATATATTATCACTCTCTTTAAGGTGGAAGCAATGGATTTTACTTCTAAATAAACGGGCATAACACTGGGATGCCAGATGCTACTAGCCTATCTCCTGGGTGACAGAGGAGGGACTTCCTTTATTTGTCAGAAAAGGGGTTTCACAAGCACCATGCTCCTTGGCTGCCATGCAACCAAATGATTAGCTGAGAAGGGTCATGGAGTTTTTGAAGCTCCCAAAGGAGAACTATCCTTTTACCAAACTATTTAGAGCTATTCAGAGCTAAGGTGCTCAGGCCAACACTTTGATTTCAATAACCATTCTCTCAGGGAAAAAAAAATTACTTAATTGTAGGTTAGTATGCTGGTATTAACCTGAGATATTTGTTTCTGTCACTTTTTCCTTGCACCCAGAGATATAAAAGTGTTTCACTGATGCTCAATGTATTAATGAAAATATGCTTGCTACTCAAAATACAATTACAAACACAATTACAATCTTTGGAAAAAGCTTACACTTTGCATTTTCAAAATGAATCTTTTTTTTAAAAAATGTACACTTTAAAAGGTACTTTTCTCAAAACAGAAAGCTTTTCATGCTTTAATCAATGGGGAAAGCATTGTCTGTGCTCAGAAAAATGCATTTGTTTCTTGTTCAGAATGCAGACTTTTCATCTTTTGGGATGGAGAAAACATGCTTGCATCCATGAGTAAGAACAAAGAGCACAGGGTGAAAAAATTGGGCCTCTGTGAACTTGAAAAATATGTATTCACCCATCCCTTCTTGTTTTACCGTTTCTTGCCTCCCATTTCAGCACACTGCAATTGAAAACTTGCTGGGTTAATAAATCATTATCCTTATATTTGAACCAGACAACTCTGGTCACCATGATTAGAACAAACCATGATCTGAAATCAAGATCAAACTAAAACTTCAGAACTTGGCTTGTTCTGATCATGATAATTACTAATCTCCTGGATGTAATATTCACAACCTCTTTTGCTATTCATGATTGCACTTTCCATGTAATTGGTATGAGGGTTAATTAACCTAGGGAGTCTTCAGCCCTGGCATAGTGAGCAGGAATGAGGGAAGGAGAACAAGGACAGCTCACACAAGTGCAAAGTTCATGCATATCGCAGCTTAATAAATGGAATTATATATGTTCAAACCAGGGCAGCGTGTCATCATTGCAGTGCCGATGATAAATATATGGTACTCCTGAAATGTGAACACTTCCAGCACTCAATAACCTTTAAAACCTCTCATTTCTTTGGTCTGGTCTGTAACTGTGCTTTAGGTAGAAGCATAAAATATGGAGTACAACTGGTTCAAAGGTCCCTAATGGTCTTTTCTAGTGCTCAGTGTGTGTGTGCCTGCATGACTTAAAACATATTTATACTGATACACAGATGGATGCAGTTAATCACTTCAACCATATACTGTACTTATCATAATGCCTAACACAAATTGAAAGCAAAACCAGATATGCTCTCTCCTTTCTTCAGCAGCTCAGTACATTTGTAGTGCTCTCCTTCCTTCTCACTTACTCCCTCACTCTCCCATGGGGAGGGGCAGAGTATGATTGTGTACAGGTTTGAGACTTCTTCTACCAAGCAGACATACTGCCAGAAAGAAAAATGTTTGCTTGCAGCCCAACCCAAAACCAAATTAATCTTCCAAAAAGGTCAGCTCCTTTGGAATCTGAATGGCATGAAACCAGATTAAAGTATCCTCATATACAAACAGAAGGCCATCCTGAATGGGTCACGGGAGAGCTGTAATCTGTAAATGGATGATTTTTCTGTGTTCAAATGCAGGTTTGAGGAGGAGGATGGATTGGGGCTGTGCCCAGAGAAAGGGAAGGTGTAACCCCTTCTCCTTGGGGCATTTCCCCAGTGTGAATAACCCTCTATAAACTTCTGTTAGCTGCAGAGGGGATGGACGGACAGACGGATGGTGGAGAAAATGGGTCCCTTTTAGCCCATCCCTGTGCAAATTCCTATCCATCTCAAATGTGTGCATATAGGTTGAAAGGGAATATCCCCATAACAAGGGAAGTGTGAGGAAAAACAGAAATAGAAATACATTGGCCCCCGTCCCAAGGCTCCCCCTGTCCATGACTCCTCCTGTAAGTCCTAATGAGGAAGTCTTGAGATGTGCACTAAGAGCAACTGGCCTTCTCACTCCCAGCACAAAGGGTTAAAACCCCTACACAGCCGTGCTTGGTTTGGAACTGGACAGGGAAAATCTGGAAAAGATTGCCAAGCAGTAACATCCTGGCACCTAAAACAGAACCAGGCAGCAAAGGAGATGTGTAGTTTGGCCCACAGTATAAGGCAGCTTCGTAGCTTCCTATGATGGCATTTCCAAACTTTAATAGGGTCATGTTTTTTGGGTCTAATTTAGCATTTCTGTTTAATATTTGTTGTTCATATCCCCTATGGTGTGTTCAATAAAACTAACAAAGCAACCATCTGGCTGTTATTTCATTTTTTTTCCTTTAAAAGATGCTGTTCCTTCCCTCAATATCCAACATGGAAAATTTGCCTGTGCAAACAGCAGGATGAGCAACAATTAAGCAACTGAATTGCCAGTAAATATTTAGTGTTAAAGCCACAATGACTTTTCACTCCCACGGGGAGAAGAAGGTAGAACAAAGCAATTCTTTAAATAACAACACATGACAATGTTTCAGGTTTAAAAGTTTCCCTTTGTACCGTTGCCACTGAAAGTTCATGAGAAGCACACTTTCAAGCCAACATAGTCTCTTCCTTGGGCAAAATCTCCTGGGAGAAAGCCAACAGGAGTGGGTAAGCATCCAGTTTAGCTGAAATCATCTAAGGGGAAGAAAATGAAAAGGAAGGCTCGGATGTAGGAGAGGAGGAAATAGGCCATGAGCATATGCTGGTAGGTGATAACCAAATTGGTGGAGGAGCCAAAAGCTATGCACATCAGAGATATCTAGAAATGGAGACTTTTAATTGGTAATGACTCAACAGTTAAAAAGCACACTGTACCAAGTTTGATGCATGTTTGGGTTCAAAACCCTTGTTGTTTCCCTATAAGCAATTATCAATACCATTGGCAGGAAAGGCTTCAAGCTAAATTATTTAGCTAGGCATTCTGTATCACCCAAAAGTCGATGTTGCCTGAACAGCTCACAACAATATGGTGGCACTTTTTGTTAGACTCTACCTAGCCCCTTTTGTCTTTGATCCACACTGGAATGGAGACCCCTGAGCTTCTCCAATATAGAATATGGCCTTGAGCTGGAAAAGGGTTTGCTCTTCTGCTTTGCACTTGATTTTAGGTGCACCAGGTATCTGAGCCGTATTTGATTTATTTGTAATTATTAAACCACCCAGATGATCTTTTATTTCCCCCATGGCAGGGCTTTTTTCAGACAGGCTTCCAGACTGCAACAGTTCCTGGAATGATCTTCACATGGTCACATGGGCATTCCAGAAACATAGGCAAAAAGCCTATGTTCTGGTGCTAGTCCAAATGGGATTTAAACCATTAGAGAAGCTCTGTTTGTGTTTGCAGAAGCCAAGTAATTTTCCCAGAAAAGACTTTCACACCAGGAGCACTTCCTAGAATCAAAACATCGCACAATAGAATAAAGTACTACTTTAAATCTGTGCTTAGCAGCTATATGCTTTTTTATTATTTTATTTTATTATATTATGTTTTTTATTTGATCAGATCTAGAAACCTGTTCCTGTTAGGGCATTAACAGGGGAGCAAGTAAAGGGCTTTTAAGATCTGCACTGTAGCATCTGCACCTTGTCTCTGCATTTTTGTGTACAGCCTTTTTCAACTCTCTAACTGGGGTGCAGGTTAGGTCTTGACCACTCCAATCTCCTCTTCTCCACACCCCCAAAATACAACCTTTAACCCCTCTCCAGGATCCCTTTTTCTGTTTTCAGTGAATAGTTGGCATAGCTCTTTCTGCACAGGTTGTCAGCCATAAAGGGTGAAGGCTCTGAGCTCCATTCCCCAGCTTGGAAAGCTTTCTCCAGCATTTCCAAGCAAAACTCTGCTTTCTCCTCCAAGTCAGGAATCCGAAGGACTCTATATCCCCCATGTGTCCGAAGGCCATAGGATTACTTCCTTATTCAATTTGTTTCTCTGCTTTGACTATTATTTTTGCATTTTATCTGTATTTTATTATTTTTCAGCTTTCTTAAGAGAGTAGCAGGGTATGCATCTAATTAATTAATTTGAAGACTCTGGTTGGCTACTATGGGAAACAGGATTTGGACTGGATAGTTCCCCATGTTCTTAATCACCAGGCAGTTCAGAAGGAATGTTCTTAGGCATAATATTGCTCAGCAGTCCAACCTTGGATTTAGCAAGGTTTTAAAATTAGTTTTCTAATACTTAAAGATGGACGTTTTCCTCAAAGGGGGTATCTCCTGTACATTCCTATTTATGTGCATTTCCACAACACATAGAAGATAAATTTTGCCAGCGACTGGCCTTTTTCCTTACCGGTATTCCTTGATGTGCCATCAGACATGGAGAGGTGGGGGAAAACCCTCCAGGCTCAGAAATATGTGTGCGAACATTGTCGTCCAATTATAGCACATTGTGAGCTAGTGAGATTAAACAAAAAGGGAAATTAACTGTTCAATTAATTCACAAATCATCTGCACAGTCTTTTATTTAAAATGAATTTTATTACTGCTTTCTTCTGTGTTTAATTTCATTGCAATAAATAGCCGCATCTACAATGCTGGAAAGAGAGAAATGTTTAAGCAATTCAGTGTCACATTAAAGGAACTGCTTAATTCATCAGAAGATTCACGAGACGGCCAGTGTCAAGTTCACAAGGGACAAAGACCAAAACAGAAACTCTGAGCAGCCTAGGGGCCAATTCAGACAATTTTGCCACTGATCACCCTGTAGCCAAAATACTGTCTTCTATGCCCTTTATAATGACATCATGAAATGGATATGGTCAAGAATGCATAGATGTAACCACCAATGTTACAATAATGCATCACAGGTCACGAGGCAAACATGTTGCCATGTTTATAGCATGAGTAGGAACAGAGCCAGTATCAGGGACTGGCATAACTGGGTGCTTGCTGAGGCTCACACCACAGCAGAGGGTCCCTCTGCCAACCCCTAAGCATGGAGACAAGAGCAAGAAGAAAGAATAACAGCATCCAGTGACCTTGCCTTCTCATGGCCAAATAGAGAGGGTGAGCAGAAAGGCAGTGGCTTCAGTGATAAAGAAGAGCTAACCTATGGAGAGCTCTGTTGAGGGCTTCTTTCACAAGAGGTCCCTGGCGCCCAGGCTGACATTGCAGAAGACAAGAAATCGGGATCATCCACCAGTCCCACCTCTCCATTCCATGGAAGCCAGTATCTTGCCTTCCTTCACTGGACCTAGGAATATGGGAGCAATCCATTTGAGTGAGGGAATTCCTCAGACTCCATGGTCTCGGCTCCCAAGACTCTGGTCCACTTTGCAGCAGCCCTGAGTTCAAGTTTCTTTGCAGGTGCATTTGTAGAACATTCACCAGGAAGCAAGCCCAGCATGTTGGGCCAGTATGGTCCCTCTTCCATGTCAGGTACAGCAGCCCAAATGGCAGCTGCACACAGTGCAGAAGAGAGATGCTGCTGGAAGTCATGCAGGGCTCGCCAGGAACAGAGCTCCACCACAGTCCCTCTTCCATTCCCACCTTGTGCTGCTGCACCTGGCACAGGAAAGGGTTGCCAGTCGTTGCACAAGCTTCTTCCTGCAACTGTTTGTGCAGTTCCTTTCTGCTCAGCTCACTTTGCAAGACTGGGCAGAGCACTGGGAGACATCCACAAATACTAGAAATGGGCAGATTCTGCTAATGTTTTTCTCCTTATCAAAATACTAGAATCCAGAGTTATCCCATGAAGCTGAATGGTGGGAGATTCAGGACAAGTAAAAGGAAGAACTTCTTCACATTGCACACAGTAAAACTATGGAATTTGGTTTACACAAGATGTATTAATGTCTACCAATTTGGGTGGCTTTAAAAAGATATTTTTCCCTTCAAATTCATGTAGGATAAATCTAATAATTGCTGCTACTTGTTCTGAGTATATATTATCTCCAGGTTCAGGGAAAGCACACTTCAGAATACAGCTTTGAGGAAACAGGACTAGAAGAGTGCTGTTGCACCTGTGTTCTCCTTTTGGGCTTTCCATGGGCATCTAGTTGGCCAGTTTGGGAAGCAGATGCTGGACTAGAGTTGAGGTCTCCTTGTGTTTTATCTAGCATAGCAGGGATCCAGGGAAGGTTACCAGACAAATCTGCTGGGGGGAAGGTAAGGAACTGCAAAAGCAGGATGCTGCAGCCCACAGAGGAATGCCATCAATTTGCTGGTGTCCTTTATTGGAAGGGTGATCCAGTCAAGTCTAGTTTACATGTAAATAAGCCTAAGCTGAAAGAAAGGGGGCTCAAAGTAATCCATCAGTAGCAGATGGACCAGGCACACTGGCAATCAAAGAAGTCTTCCCCGTTTTTTTTACTATTTTTATTTATTTATTTATTTATTTCTATTTACATTGTGGATTTCAACATGTGCACCTGCACCTATAAAACAGCATATGTAATTTTCCAAGATTTTTTCTCCTTTTCGTAGAGGATAACATTTCCTCTTGTTGGCAATACATGGCTGCCTTCCACAGCAGGGATAAAACCAGAAAAAAGGACTTTTTCCCAGTAGCCATCTGCTCTACCTTCCCAGGATGATGAACCCCTTGAATGACCTCAGAAGATTATCTTGAAGACCAGGAAAGTGATAAGGGGGTGATAGGTGGGACAATGATGGCTTTGACTTCTCTTCTCTTGTGAAGAACAGGAAGGAAGAAGGCAGATCTCCAGAAGTATTGGACTTCAACTCCCAGAACCCCCTGTCCACATGACCAATGGTCAGGAATTCTGGGAGTTGAAGTCTAAAGGATCTGGGATTCTACTTCCTGCCCACCCGTCATGAAGGACACCTTCCCCCAAAGATCTGCTCAGTCAGCAGGCTGATTTTGCAGAGCACTCAGTAGCCAAGCAAATAGCCCAAATGTGCCTCTCCAGCAGTTTCTTCAACAAACTGATTTAGGTTTTATTTGCAACTCCAGGCACAGACCTAGTCAGTATATCTCTCACCAGAAATGAAACACATCCCAGACCTTTTGCATTTCATTATCATGTAGAATATTTTTTTCTTGAAATAAATCCTTTCGGGTTCACAATTAAAAACACCCAGCATATCAATACCCAGCACCGTGCTGGATAAGGAAGCAATTAATAATGACCACACATAACAAGCAGAGTGGCAATTTCCTTTCACAGAAAGATGCAATTCCATTTTTGGCAGGCCTGGCTCCAAGATGCCGACAGGGAATGTAAATAAGGAGAAACCAAATGCTTCCAGATGCATGTGAGGAAAGTTTTCCTTATCAGATAATGAGCTGGCTTTTAGTGATGAGAATGGTAATGTTCCCATTAGCAGTGCTGATAGCAATGACAACAGCCCAGCCTTTTGAGGGAGACCCATTCTCACCTGCTTTGCAGAGGCAGGAGAAAAGGCAGCTATGAACTGTTGAGCTTTCATAAAGAATCTGATACAAAGTAGCTGTTAATATCTTTGGCTGATTTATGCATTTCGTGAAATCTTTGCTTGCTATGGGCAGTCACTGGAAAGTGGTCAAAGATCTAATACTTAATGTGGGTTTGGTATTATCATTATTTCATCATGAAATAAAGGAGAAGGACCAGGGCTCATTGGCTTCACATGCACAAACATGGAAACACAATATTCTGCATCATGCCCAGAAGACCCTTCCAGCATTTTGAGCTTGTTGGCACAGTCATCTGAAGAAATTGGCTGTGCAACAGTTTCGAGTAAACAGATGGTTACCTTTTTCCTTGCTTCCCTACCTCTTAAATACATCTCATTGAAACTATCCAGATCCTGAAGATGTGAACTTTTAGTTTCCTAATACACTGCACTTTCTCTTCCAGGTGCCCTATGGAGCTTCTGTCCACAATCTAGCTACAGAACTCCTAGGGGCACAAGCCTATCCTCCTTGTGGAAGATGCTTGTAAGCCTACAAGCATGGAGGCTGCTGAGTATCCAGTGCAAGGTGTGGGGTGCAATGGGCTTGGCGTTTGCTGTTGCCACATCTCATGCCCTGCATTTTTTCTAGATGGCCATTTTCAACCATAAAAATTTGGGGCTGCTGAGGGATAGGGAAGAAGGCCGGAGTGCCAGTTGGAATTGATACAGCTCCATTCTTCAAGCAGACAAAGGATACCTCCCAAAGAGGCCCATCTCTTTGCCTATGAACCCTCCCTCTTCCCACAAAGGAGACTTCCTATGATAAGAAGGTCTCCCCACCTCTTATCCTGCTTTCTGTAGCAGATTTAGATGGACTTAGAAGCACAGTCCTTAATTTTAAGTCTACTGTTTGCATAAATAGCATAAATAAAAGGAGCATTCTCTTTGAGTTTTAGTAGAGGCATGTGTCCATGCCTTCCCTAATCCCTTCTCTCCCTTTCAGAAAAGCTTTTTACTCTATCCTCAGGGTGGCTCTTGCCCCTTGAGGATAAGATGGATGGAATGTTGCACATGTCTTAATTGTTCCATTTGCCTGTCATCTCCTCACAGAATCAAGGAACTCTTCCTTAATCTCAAACCCACCATACTCTGAAATGTCTCTCCTTTTTCAAGGTGGGCTGGTGCTCACCTCCTTCCTGAGAATCTTTGCTAGGTAACCTTGAAGCTTCCAAGTTCTCTGCCCACCTCATCCCCTCAGGTTCCTCCTTTCTATCAGAAATCTCTACCTGAAGAAACTGTAACTTGAGATAGATGGGATGCATCAAAGCTCTGCAAAATCTATTCCTGTGGTCTTTGTGGACTTCCTTTTGTGCTCTGCCCTGCTGCATGAGAAGCAGAACAAGGATGCTGCTCCCAGAGCACTTGCACAGCACTTGATTCCTGGCAAGGGCCATGCAAACACTGGAAATGCTCACCAGAAACTTGGACTCATGGCTAGGGATGTGTGAGGAATCCATCCAGGCACGGGATTCATCAAATGCCTTGGACTTGGCTCCCTGGACTCAGGTCTTCTTTGCAGTGGCACAGATTCAAGTAAGTGCATCTAGCATTTGTGGGTAATCAAGCCCCATGTACTTCACAAGCAGTGCTTCTCTTTGCACCAGGAGCAGCTGCAGCTGATGCTGAAGAAGGCCGATTGGGAGGGACTAGCCAGGAAAGCAGGGCTGTGCAAGCAGTGCCTTCTCTCAGTGCCAGGTCTTGCTACCTTTGCATGGTGGCAGCTGATGTGGAAGAACGTCACTGGCTATGCAGCCAGGGACCTGTGAGCATCCATGGACCTCTGGCTCACTTAGGAAGACCCGGCCAAGCACAAGAGGAATCCTGAGCATGCTTGGAGGGAAGGAGTCTGACAGGGTTCAGGAAATCTGATGGATCCCCACTCATACAGCAGATTCCTCACACATCCCTAGCTGAGCCCTATTCCTAGAGATCCACAGATCTTATGGGTTCTGAGATCCCCCCCCCCCCACACGATGCTCCATAGGATTTCCTTAAAATGCCACAGTCCTGGAGCTTTTATTCATTTGCGACTTCACTTATTTAAACAATTGCACATTGCCTTTCTGCTTAAAAGCCCCATAGGCAGATCTAAGATAAAACTGCAAGCAGCAAATACCATGCAACCATGCAAACCATTTGGTGGAAAGATGGACTACACATTGAACAAACACACACATAAATAAAACTAAAGAGCAGCAGGAAAAAATGGCAAAAATAAAATGCCACAGCAATAACAATCATGTCTGCTTAAAAGCTTGGCAAAATATCGATCGGTTCTTTATTGTGCTGTTTCTTTTCTGAATGCCACTTTAAGGAACCTTTTGGGGTGAGAAAGCAACCTATTCATTTTAAGAGGAGTGACATGCAAGGCAGAATAAACCCCAGTGTTGTTTATGTGCCCTACTTTATAGAGGAGAATCCTCAGTTTCAGGGACTGACAGACTGGAATAGTATCTATCATTCCCTGAATTGTTCTGAAGTGAGCCCTACCAGGAATCTTCCTGAATTCATCCTTCCATCAGATCTTAATGGCATGCCTTCCAATACTCATTTATTGACAGCACTGGAGGAACATGTTGATTCATCATAATCTGTCATAATCTAGCCTCCAGTCTGAATTATCTCACACATTTAACACAGGCAGCTTTGTTGATGTAAGAAATGCCTTTATCTGCTGACATTTACCTACCATTCTGCCACACAAAGATATAGTCCTGCTCATTTATAATCTATGATGCATAAAATATACATGCAAAGAATAAATTACAGGCTTTAAGAGATAGGGTTGTAATTTGCAGATATTGTTAGGTTAATCAAAGCCAGAGTTGTTTTTATTTTTAATATAGTAAAGTTTTTTCTTTGGGGGCATCACTTGATCACTTGCAGATCACATGGTTGTTGGACAATGTTGCTGGCATACATAATCAAGTGATGGAGCCCACATGGAGATAAATCCCAACAACCATCTCTGGTAAAACAGCTGAACGTTCCCCCAGT